TTAACCACTCAGAATCCCATCACCATGGAATGTTAAAATGTGATATTATGCTCTTCCATAGCAAGGATAAGGGAGCAGGAGAACAGGAGTGGACACATCTTGTGTTTGGGGTTTTTTTTTTTTTTGAGACAGTGTCTCGCTCTGTCACCCAGGCTGGAGTACAGTGGCACGATCTCGGCTCACTGCAAGCTCCGCCTCCCAGGTTCACGCCATTCTCCTGCCTCAGCCTCCTGAGTAGCTGGGACTACAGGTGCCCGCCACCACACCTGGCTGGTTTTTTGTATTTTTAGTAGAGATGGGGTTTCACCCTGTTAGCCAGGATGTCTCGATCTCCTAACCTCGTGATTGTCCTGTCTCGGCCTTGGCCTCCCAAAGTGATGGGATTACAGGTGTGAGCCACTGCACCTGGCCCACATCTTGTTTTTGAAATGAAATTAAAATGTTTATAGAATGTTATACTTTTTTTATTACTGTATCATGAGGATTCTCATATTTATTAGAAATTTGAATTTTTTAATGACTGCATGAGATTTCATTGTATACTACCCTCTACTGTTGAACATTTCGGTTGTTTTGAGTATATTGATTCTACTCGTGTAAGTTCTGCAATTAACTCAAAGGCTTTTAGGAAAAATTATATATTAAACGTGCATATGGACTGAAAGATGCGTCCTAATTTCAGGAACATTTAAAAGCCCAAATGTGAGTCTTGGAATAAAGGAAATACAGTGTATTATTACATATATACATGCTGTGATGAACATCTGTAAACCTACATGTTAGATTGCATCTCTGTTTACTTAATTGTATTTATAGAAGAGGCAGGTGATGGTCAGGCATGGTGGTTCACGCCTGTAATCCCAGCACTTTGGGAGGCTGAGGCGAGTGGATCATGAGGTCAGGAGATCAAGACCATCCTGGCTAACAAGGTGAAACCCCATCTCTACTAAAAAATACAAAAAATTAGCCAGGCATGGTGGCGGGCACCTGTAGTCCCAGCTATTCGGGAGGCTGAGGCAGGAGAATGGCGTGAATCCGGGAGGCGGATCTTGCAACTTGCAGTGAGCTGAGATCATGCCACTGCACTCCAGCCTGGAAGGCAGAGCAAGACTGAGTCTCAAAAAAAAAAAAAAGAGAGAGAGAGAAGGGGCAGGTGATATAGTAGACTTTGCTAGTAAGATAGCTGAGAGACAAGATACTGGCCCTTCTAGAGGAGATTTTATAGAAAATGGAGATAAGTAACTATAATACTCTGTGATAGATACTATAATTGAGGCGTACAGGATGGGTAGCTAACTTAGATTTGGAAGAGTCATAGAACATTTTCTGGAAGCAGTGGCCTCTAATCTATCTGAAAGATGAATGAAAGTTGGGAGAAAACTTCATGGACAAAGTCTCAGAGGTGAGAGAGCTTATTTCATTGAAACACTGAGGTTGAAAATTGCAGGAGGTGGGCCGGGTGCGGTGGCTCACGCCTGTAATCCCAGCACTTTGGGAGGCGGAGGCAGGCAGATCACCTACCTGAGCTCAGGAGTTCCAGACCAGCCTAGCCAACATGGTGAAACCCCGTCTCCACTAAAAATACAAAAATTAGGTGGGCATGTTGGCACATGCCTGTAATCCCAGCTACTTGGAAGGCTGAGGCAGGAGAATTGGTTGAACCCGGGAGGTGGAGGTTGCCATGAGCCAAGATTACGGCATTGCACTCCAGCCTGAGTGACAAGAGCAAAACTCTGTCTCCAAAAAAAAAGAAAAAATTGCAGGAGCTTTAAAGTAGAAAGAGTGATCAGCAGTACTAAATGTAGAAGAGGGTTTGAGTAAGCTAAGGATCAAATAATAGCCATTGGACTTGGCACTTAGGGATTTCAGTGGCTTCATCAAGAGGATTTTTAGGACTGGGCACGGTGGCTCATGCCTGTATTCCCAGCGCTTTGGGAGGCTGAGGCTGGCAGATCACCTGAGGTCAGGTGTTCAAGACCAGACTGGCCAACATAATGAAACCCTGTCTCTACTAAAAAATACTAAAATTAGCCGGGTGTGGTGGCACACACCTGTAGCCAGCTACTTGGGAGGCTGAGACAGGAGAATCACTTGAACCCGGGAGGCGGAGGTTTTAGTGAGCTGAGATCATGCCACTGCCCTCCAGCTTGGATGACAGCCTGAGACTCCATCCCAAAAAAACAAAAGGCGGTGGGGGGGGCGGGGTTAAGCAACTGGGAACAGACACGCCTGTAATCCCAGCACTTTGGGAGGCTGAGACAGGCAGATCGCCTTGAGCTCAGGAGTTCAAGACTGATCTAGGCAACATGGTAAAACCCTGTCTCTACAAAAAAATACAAAAATTAGCTGAGCATTAGTGGCTTGCACCTGTAATCCCAGCTACTTGGGAGGCCGAGGTGGGCGGATCACATGAAGGTCAGGGGTTCGAGATCAGCCTGGCCAACATGGTGTGAAACCCCATCTCTACTAAAAATACAAAAATTAGCTGGGTGTGGTGGCGTGCCCCCTTGATCCCAGCTATTTGGGAGGCTGAGGCAGGAGAATCTCTTGAACCCAGGACGCGGAGGTTGCAGTGAGCTGAGGTTGCACCACTGCACTCCAGCCTGGGTGACAGAACAAGACTCTATCTCAAACAAACAAACAGACAAAAAGACTTTAAAAAGTGTTTTCAAGGGAAGGAGCTAGTTTGAAATGAACTGAAGATCCAAATGTAAATAAGTAGAAGTCTTACGTATAAATATTTTAAGAATTTTTACATGAGAGGTGTGAAGAAACAGATGTTAACATGACTACAGAGGGCCACGAGGAAGACCAACATGCTTGTCAGCTGAAGAGATTCCACTGAGAGATTGGTGATACAGCAGAGGAGGTGACTAATGGAGCGGGTTGAAAAGACGAGAATTGGTCAAGGATGCAGGTGGAAGACACAGTTTTGAGCCGTGGCTAATATATTTTATACTTTGAGATCAGAAGAAAGATGAGGATGTTTATGTGCATGCATTGTCTGACATGGAAGGCAGGAAGAAAGAAGCTAGGGTACCTGAGGGTAAAGAGTTTGCAGTAGTCTTTGAGGAGAATGGGGAAGAGTTGATAAAAGACAGGTGAAGTGATTCATAGGTAGTTGTGAGGGAAATTGAGAACTAGTCTGTGTGGGTACAGGAATAGGGAAATGAGGGGATAGTCTTCATCCAGGGTTTGGGGCTCTAGTGGGCAGGTAAGGAGGGAAGTAGAGAATTGTTACAGAGGAGAGAGTGCTAGAATGGGAGTAGTTTAGGTGGCTTTCCACAGAATTTAGGCTCATAACAGAAAGAAGAGAAAGCACAAGGGGTCTTAAGTGAGAGTCAAGGCATAGAAGAGCTAATGTGATGGGAGATGGGGGTCAGTGGCTAAGATGGTGGAGTTCAGGATTTCTCAGGTAGAGGAGTTCTGGATGACCATTTGATTTAGTGTGATGTCCTGGTTGCGTCTAAAGCGCAGTGGAGGTAAAGTTGCATATTAGACAACCCCAAAATTTTAAGACAAAGTTATCTATATAGTCTTTGTACTTCCCGTAGCAGGGAAGAAAACTGAGCCAGGTTCTAAATTCTTGGCTGAATGAAGATGGTAGAGAGAAAGGAGTGATTAGGGATAATCGCTGGGTGGTTGAGTCATATACACTAAGCTGGAGTCTGTAGGTAGCTAGGCTGGCCACAAAAGGACCTTTGAATAAGGGAAACATATATTTTTAAGCCCCTCATATCATCTAGGGCAGGTCTGGGTCTAGGGCACGTGAGTTGAATAATTATTAACTAAAAACAAAGGTATTTGAGCTGGAAGGCAACTCTTACATCTTTGGCCATACCACCTTGAACGCACCTGATCTCATCTGAAAGGCAGTTTCAATACCAGCAGTTCAGTAGCGGAGAAAATTATTATAGAACTAGCAATGATTTTATTGATCGTTTAGAAACAGAATGGAGGTTACTATACTAGAACATAGTGATTAGGGGAGAAGTGATATAAGATCAGAGGGAATGAAGCAGAGGTCTGTTTATATTTAGAGTTTTATAGGCCATGGAAAAGAGCTCAGGTTTTATTTTAAACTCATTTGTCCTGCGTATTTTGATACTGAGTTTATATTATAAATATTTTCTAAAACAACTGATAAACACAAGCTATCACTTCAGAAACACAATCATGAAATTTTAGAGCAAAAAGGAATCACAGTGGTCTTTGAGCGCAACCCTTAAGACTGTACAGATGAGTACTCACTCTTCTGAGTTTGAATCTTTTTATTTTTCTTGAGACGGGATATCACTGTCATCCAGGCTGGTATGCAGGAGTGCAGTCATGGCTCACTGCATCCCCAAACTCCTGGGCCCAAATTATCCTCCCACTTCAGCCTTTTTAAATGTTTTGTAGAGACAGAGTCTCACTATGTTGCCTAGGCTGGTCTCGAACTCCTGGCCTCAAGTAATCAGGCCAAAGTGCTAGGATTACAGGTGTAAGCCTTTGCACCCAGCCAAGTTTGATAGAAATCTTTCCTTAAAAAGTTGGAAGCTTCATACATTTCTGTTGTTCTTTTAGGACACTAGAATTAAGTAATTCTAAATTATGGGTTTTGAGAATATTCTCCTTTGTATTAAAAAATATTCATAATACTGTGAACAAGTCAAGGCATTACTATTATATGTCTTAATATAATCAAGGACTAACTCAGTTAATATTTGACTTATTGTTATGTATGTAAGTATCTAAAGTCTATTGATTCTGTGCCTTTTTGACCTCCGTTTTTAAAAGTTCTGATTGTGATGATGACAGCATGTATCTGGAAAGATACTAAAAACTGGTTGTGTGTTTTAAATGGGTGCATAGTATGGTATTTTAATTATATTTTAACAAAGCTGCTATATATTTTTTAAATAATTGATTTAAAAATGTGTGTGTCAGTCTTTTGTGTTGAATGGTTAATTCTATTTTAAATATAAGGAACACATTTTTAAATAATTTGGTTGTTTCAGTCGCTGGGTAAGTCGGAGTGCCACTGCACAGCGCAGGAAAGAACGCCTTCGCCAGCATTCTGATCATGTTGGGCTGGACAACGACTTGAGGGAGGTATGTGATCTACTTTCCTGGGGTGCCTCACAGCAAGTGCCATGAACTAGGCTTATTCCTTCTAGCAGATGTCATTGTGTAGATTCTTAATGTTCTTTAAAAAAAAGAACTGTTTAGTTATAGTTTAAAATACTAATCCTTTTGTATGGGCATATAGCAGAAAACACCCTTTTTTCCATTTTTGTAATTTTAAGACATCTATAATAAGGCTCTAAAACAAGACTTTCTGTGTATTACATGAAGTAAAGATCAAGTTTAGGATAAATTTTCAGTTACTATGTCTCATATTGGGAGAAAAATTGTCTACATGAGAAGCCTAGACATGTCTAAGTTTCAAGCATATCGTAATAAGTAGTGTGATGTACTTGCCTATGCTTTGTTCTTGGCTTGCTGGCACCATTTTTTTTTTTCTTGAATCTTTGAATCTACTTTATATTTTTGAAAGTGTTTGAAAACTATTTTTAAATTAAGATCCTTACACTTTATTTGTACTGTTTGAAAATAAGACCATAATTGTCCATTTGAATAATTACAAGTATGTTTTTATTTTTTTCTGTGTGAAATCTGCCACTATATGTATATGCCAGTATACATATATATAGTGCCTTGCTGTGTTGCCCAGGCTCAAGCAGTGCTCCTGCCTCAGTCTCCCAAAGTATTGGGATTACGGGTGTGAGCTACCATGCCCAGCCTGATTGTTTTGTTTCTTATGATCAAAAGAGAAATCCAGTCAGAAGACCTGTTAACTGTTTTCTAGAATCAAATTTGTAAAAATAAAGCAGAAAACATAACCCCAAACATCTTTTGTTTTTGTTGTGTTCGTACATGTATGATTTTAAACATTTTATTAAGAACTGAAACATCACCTGTGTAGTGCTTTTTTTTTTTTGGCTACTGTATTTTCTTCCCTTCCCTCTCTTTTGCTGTGATTTTATCATATGCATGCTTGTTCTGCTTGTCTCTTTCTCCCTATCCTTTTCTTTTTTGCTTTTCTGTCATTGGCACTTCTCCATCCTCTTAGCCTTCCGGGGAACTTTTGGTCTGTCAGAACTCCATGGCATTCTGGGAGTGGGATCAGGGTCCACCTCCTCCTGCACGACTTCCTAAAAAATCCTTCTCTGAGTGCTGCCTGGTATGTTCTTTGCTTGAAAGTGCTTTACCAGATGTTCCCCCAATCTTGTCTTTGGTGTTACTTGAATGTTACACATGTGTGAGTGCACATAGCTCTAGAATGCCTCACATGACCTTGCGATGTGAACTCACACTCCCCATTTTGCTCTCTGTTTCTTGTTATGTTTACTCCCTCTCTGTTTTTGTGTGTGCTGATATGAGTAATTCTATGCTGCTGACATGTAAAACTAATCATTCGGGTCTCTAATCAGTGGGATTTTTTTTGTGCTAGATAGCAAATTGCCTTACTTCAAAGGGGGAAATGTATTAAATATACAGACTCCCCTTTATTTAAGCATTTTCCAGAAATACAGATGTGATTCAATTTCAAATAGCCTTTCTTTTGCCAGGTTTTATCTCCACAGAATTTTAATTTCCCCTTCCTAGTCTGTATTTTATGTGGTCAGAAAGTTCAGTCATCAACATAGAATCTCAGTGCCAAGAGGAATCTTTAAGGTCATTTTGTCCAATTTGACATGATTAAATTGAAGTCCAAGAGATTTGCCCAGAGTTAAAAGCACACAAAGACAGAGCTGGGCCTATAGCCCAGGACTCCTGACTTCTAGGCCAATATTCTTTCCATTTACCCTGCATGCCGGCTTTCACTAACTGCTGTTCACTTGAGGCAACAAGTCACTTAGAAATCTTGCTTATATTTTCTGCCCATTATGTCATACTAGCTTAAATCTATTGTACAATGGTCTTCTCTTCACAAGTTGAACACCAGGTAAAGGGCTAGGGTGTTTATTAGAAAATTCTGGGAGAGCCTGTATTAAAGAGCAGTTCGTTCAGTGTTTATTGAATAACAGGATATATTTTCATAGGTAGTTCCTAGTGGTTTGTTTCATTTGTTCTTAAGCAGAAATAAAGAAGAACGCAATAGTAATCTCAGAAGAAATCTGGGGTTACTTCTAGACTGTATTATAAAAGCATTTCTTGTGAAAAGTGTCTCTCTGTTCTGTATTTTTCATCTTGAAATATGTTTTTTCCTTCAGATGATATTTTTATCATCACTTGTTTATTTTAAAGGCAGTTGCTCTGTTTTTGCAACTTGCAGAGGCAGCCTCCCTTCTTGCTGTGAAGAGAGGCCTTTTGCCGCCCCCTGTATCCTTTCTGTGCATGTCCACGGAATGTTGCTAGTTCTGTGACTCCAGCAGAGATGCCCAGAAGGAGACTTTGCACATGGCCCTATGGAATCCACTGTTGGCTAATAACTGTACCTGCCCCATATGTACTGGGGGCTCAGTAAGTTGGTCACTCATAGGACAGGCACAATCTAGCTTGTTTTCATTTATGTAAAACAGGACATAAACTTTTAACAGTGCTTAATTTTTTGTTTGTTTTTGAGACAGAGTCTCCCTCTGTCACCAGGCTGGAGTGCAGTGGCGTGATCTCGGCTCACTGCAACCTCCACCTCCCCATCCTCCTGCCTAGGCCTCCCAAGTAGCTAGGACTACAGGCATGCACCACTACGCCCAGCTAATTTTTTTTTTTTGTATTTTTAGTAGAGACGGGGTTTCACCATGTTGGCCAGGGTGGTCTCGATCTCTTGGCCTCGTGATCCTCCCACCTCGGCCTCCCAAAGTGCTGGGATTATAGGCATGAGCAACCTCAACCAGCTGACAGTGGTTAATTTTTAATCCAATAATTGACTTTAAAAAGTATTCAGGGGATAGGCGCAGTGACTTACACTTTTAATCCCAGCACTTTGGGAGGATGAGGTGGGCGGATCACTTGAGGACAGGAGTTCGAGACCAGCTTGGCCAACATGGTGAAACCCTGACTCTACTAAAAATACAAAAATTTGCTGGGCGTGGTGGCATGTGCCTGTAGTCCCAGCTACTCAGGAGGCTGAGGCAGGAAAATTGCTTGCACCTTGGAGGCGGAGGCTGCAGCGAGCTGAGATCACGCCACTGCACTCCAGCCTGGGCAACAGACCAAGACTCTGTCTCAAAAAAGCAAAAACCAAACAAAAAAAGTATTCAGGCTGGGCGGTGGCTCACACCTATAATCCCAACAGTTTGGGAGGCCGAGGCAGGGAGATTATTTGAGATCGGGAGTTCAAGACCAGCCTGGCCAACATGGTGAAACCCCATCTCTACTAAAAATATAAAAATTAGCCAGGTATTATAGCGCGTGCCTATAATGCCAGCTACTTGAGAGGCTGAGGCAGGAGAATCGCTTGAACCCAGGAGGCGGAGGTTACAGTGAGCCAAGATTGTACCACTGCACTCCAGCGTGGACGACAGAGCAAAACTCTGTCTTTAAAAAACAAACAAAAAACAGGCAGGGCATGGTGGCTCATGCCTGTAATCCCAGCACTTTGGGAAGCCGAGGTGAGTGGATCACTTGAGGTCAGGAATTCGAGACCATCCTGGCCAACATGGCGAAACCCCATCTCTACTAAAAACACAAAAATTAGCCAGGTGTGGTGGCCAGCATCTGTAATCCCAGCTACTTGAGAGGCTGAGGCAAGAGAATTGCTTGAACCCAGGAGGCGGAGTTTGCAGTGAGCCAAGACTGAGCCATTGCCCTCCAGCCTGGGCAACAGAGCAAGACTTCATCTCAAGAAAAAAATAAATAAATAAAACTAACCTTCAGACCATTTCTATAGACCTTGTTACATTTGACTTCTCTGCTGGTAATGGTTGATAGATTGTAAAAATCAAACTCTCCAGGCGCGGTGGCTCACATCTGTAATCCCAGCACTTCGGGAGGCCAAGGCAGGCAGATCACGAGGTCAGGAGTTCAAGACCAACCTGACCAACATAGTGAAACCCTGTCTCTACTAAAAAATACAAAATTATGGCCGGGCGTGGTGGCTCACGCCTGTAATCCCAGCACTTTGGGAAGCCGAGGTGGGTGGATCACAAGGTCAGGAGTTTGAGATCAGCCTGACCAACATGGTGAAACCCTGTCTCTACTGAAAATATAAAAATTAGCCAGGCATGGTGATGTGCATCTATAATCCCAGCTACTCAGGAGACTAAGGCAGGAGAATCACTTGAACCTGGGAGGTGGAGGTTGCAGTAAGCCGAGATCACGCCATTGCACTCCAGCCTGGGTGACAGAGCAAGACTCCGTCTCAAAAAAAAAAAAAAATTAGCCGGGCATGGTGGAACGTGCCTGTAATCCCAGCTATTCAAGAGGCTGAGGCAGGAGAATTACTTGTACCTGGGAGGCAGAGGTAGTAGTTAGCTGAGATCACGCCACTGCACTTCAGCCTGGGCGACAGAGCGAGGTTCCATCCCAAAAAATAAAATAAAAATAAACTCTGCAGTTCCCATAACATTTATTTATACTTCTTCTGCATTTTTTTTTGAGATGGAGTCTTACTCTTGTCACCTAGGCTGGAGTGTGATGGCACGATCTTGGCTCACTGCAACCTCTGCCTCCCGGGATCAAGCAGTTCTCCTGTCTTAGCCTCCCAAGTAGCTGAGATTACAGGTGCCTGTCACATTTTTATATTTTTAGTAGAGACGGGGTTTCACCACGTTGGCCAGGCTGGTCTCGAACTCCTGACCTTGTGATCCGTCCGTCTCGGCCTCCCAAAGTGCTGGGATTACAGGTGTGAGCCACCACGCCTGGCCTCTGCTTCAAACATTTTTAAGAGGGTCAAAGAAATAAGAGAAAATTGAGAATTAGAGACAACTGTAAAAGTGATTGGACTGGAAAAAAACATTATTTTGTTAATTTTGCCTTTCATCACAAGGATTGGGAGGTAGCAGGTAAACTGATTAGTTGAATCCCTAATCAGTGGGGTTTTTTTATTTGTACTAGACTTAGCAGATTAGTTTTCTTCCAAATGAGAAATATATTAAATGTACAAACTCTCTTTTTTAAAGAATGCAAAGGATTTTACGCATCTTCTTTTATAATATCAAGCTCTCCTCTGAAGATAGTAAGGATAGATTTCACATATGTGCCTGTGGGAGGATGTGCTGGCTTGCTGTCTCAGTCTCCCTGCTGCCCCCCAACTACCAGCCAATAAACTGCTACTTTTACTATATATTGTAGAGCAGTTATTTTCTAAATATGGTCCTAAGACACTTGGACTTTTTGGAAAATTCTGCCCTGTGATCCTGATGTAAACACAAGGTATCCAGATGGGTTTTTTGTTTGTTTGTTTGTTTTGTTTTTTTTTGGTTTTTTGTTTCGTTTTGTTTTGTTTTTTTGAGATGGAGTCTCGCTCAGTTGCCCAGGCTGGAGTGCAGTGACGCCATCTGCACTCACTGCAGTCTCCGCCTCCCAGGTTTCAGTGATTCTTCTGCCTCAGCCTCCCGAGTAGCTGGGGAGTAGCCTATAATCCCGAGTGGGTGGATTATAGGCATCCACCACCACACCTGGCTAATTTTTGTATTTTTAGTAGAGACGGGGTTTCACCATGTTGACCAGGCTGGTCTCACACTCCTGACCTCTGGTGCTCCACCCATCTCAGCCTCCAAAGTGCTGGGATTACAGACGGGAGCCACCGCCCAGCCCCTGGATGAACCTTTATAGACAGCATAGAAAGGAGAGAGAGAGCACATGTCTTGCACTAATCACATGTAGTGATTTTCTTTTTAATAGAAATTCACTAACCAAAGCTCAAGAGCATTTGGTTAAGTTTCTGTGATACCTTAGAGTTACCAAAAACCCCAAAAGTAACTGTAATTCACTTTCTCTTGATTATAGAACAAGGCAAGGTAGGACTTTAGCAAAAACATCACAGAAAAAGGCCACTTTCGCTTGAAGCACATCGTGCTCTTCAGAGTGATCTTATAGCCTTTTGGGAAGGTAGGGGGGCATGTTTTATGCCCATTTAACAAGCTGAGGTGCACAAACATTAGTTGATATGCCTGAGTCATAAAATTAGTTACAACCAGATTCTGAAGTTCCTGATTTTACTGTTGTGACTTGATTATAGAGCAAAGGGTTAGATTGGAGGCTAGAGGTATGTTAAGTCTTGCTGTATGGGGAAAGGAGTGGAGGAAATCGGTGATCTGAGAACCACTGGGTTCCTGCAAAACCTTGGATTTGTAATCTAAACACCTAAATTTTTTTGTCCCAACCACAATCCTGACTAATCACAACCTTTTGTATTCCCAGTGAAAAGACTAAACAAAATGAAATGTCATCTCACTTTGAATAAGTTTTAATGTGATGGGGTTTCTGTCACTTTACTTCTCACAGGAGTTAACAGTTGTTGTGGGGTGGCATATGAGTGTCCTCTGTCTTTTGGTGCACTAAAACATTAAGTGTTGTTATGCGCATACACTTACAGACTTTTTTGCATTTCATTTGTCTCTGCACTTGTTTGTATAAGGTTAAGAAGATTAGAAGAATAGCTAATGTTTATGCATTAAAAATACTCCTTAATTTTTAGAAATATATGCAAGAGGCACGAAGTTTAGGAAAAAACCTGAGGCAACCCAAACTGTCAGACCTCTCTCCTGCAGTGATTGCACAGACCAACTGTAAATTCGTAGAAGGCTTATTAAAAGAATGTAGAATGAAGGTATGTATTATTCACTGATGCCAGACAGCGTGTATTCATGTTTACACCATGTGTGAGGCTAAGATGAACTGAGTTAACCCCCATTTAAGCATGTAATTTTGCTAGAAGAAAACTCTTATTGTGGCATTGACCTCATGTACTCTTTACTGGGGTACTGAACCTCCATGGGTTCTTCATTGCCCACAGAATCAATGACATGAGAGCCTTGTATCATTTTTCTCCACTTTTCAGACGTTGCTGTCCTCCTCACCAACATGAACAGATGTCTTAAGCCACTCGTAATTTGCGTCAGGAATGTTGTCATCTTATGTGAAAGGCAACACTTGTGTCTGTGTATGCAGCTGTGTACAGCCTTATTTGTGTCTATACATGGTTTTCATCCCCATAAGGAAAAATACCTTGGCTGTGTTGTAGGTTTGTGTATATTGCACAGCATTCTCCTCTCAGAAACTTGTGTTTTTTGGAGGTAGCAGTACAAATTGACAAAACTTAAAACATCATTTTAGCTAATAATTTTATTTATTTATTTGACAGTCATTTCTTGAGTACCTTCTCTGCATATTCAATAAATGCACTATTTTCAGCATCAGAATATAGTGGTGAATTAAAGTTCTTGCCTAAAAGAGCTAGATTCTCTCTCATTTTACATTTTATAAAAGCTACTAAGACTGATGCAAATTAACTTACATGAAACTGATTTCCATTTTCTTTGCATTTTTTGGTGTATGCTTGATGAACAAAGAAAAGATAAAAAAGGAAAAGAGAAGGAAAGTCCTGGTTCATTCACAAATTAGAGTTCTCAAAAAATTTAGAGCTGCCCATTTGTATTCTGGTTTTTACTTAAGTGCAATCAAACTAAGTGCAAGAATCTTTAGTATGCTAAGATGCTGGGGCAGTGATAGGGCAAGTTGTGGTGGCAGGATGGGGTTCCATATTCTGACGGTACATTTTCTTGTTTTATTGTTTTTTGTTTTTTGAGACAGAGTCTCGCTCTATCACCCAGCAGGCTGGCACAGTGGTGCAATCTCAGCTCACTGCAACCTCTACCTCTTGGGTTCAAGCGATTCTTCTGCCTTAGCTTCCCAAATAACTGGGATTACAGGACTGTGGCACTACTACCCGGCTAACTTTTGTATTTTTAGTAGAGACAGGGTTTCACCATGTTGGCCAGGCTGGTCTCGAACTCCTGACCTCAGGTGATCCACTTGCCTCGACCTCCCAAAGTGCCGGGATTACAGGTGTGAGCCACCATACCCAACCCTGACAGTACATTTTCTAGGTCTGCTGTAATTCCCCAATATCACAGAAGTTAATAATTTGACAATTGTTGTACATAAGCATCTTTTCAACATGGGGATGCTTACAAATATTATCTTATTTTCTCTTTAGTTACACTCCATTTTTTCTGACAAAATAGTAACATATAAATTATATTACTCCAATTAGTTGACCACCAAGATTAAGAGATTTTTTCCCAAGGTGATTACAGATCTGCAAACAGAGGTATAATGAAGGGAAACCAAGTCTCCTACTTCAGTAATTGACTTGTTGGTTTTTGGTTTCACTACTGGGGTGCCTTATGACTACACGTGATATTCTTAGACAAAGCGCATGTTGGTGGAGAAGATGGGACACGAAGCAGTGGAACTTGGCCATGGAGAAGCAAACATCACCGGCCTGGAGGAGAACACCTTGATCGCCAGCCTCTGTGACCTGCTGGAGAGGATATGGAGCCATGGCTTGCAGGTCAAGCAGGTAACAGTTTTAGGAGGTCCTGGTGACATGGCCAGTTAAGAGCCCTGTGAAGAAATGTAACAAGGAGAAAAATATGTCATTAAAAAACAAATAGGCTCTTTTGTCACAAGGGGACTAGAAAAATGCCACAGACATTTTAATTTCAGAACAAGAAAATATAACCCATGAGCAGGAGGTGGTTTGGGATCTTTCCTGCTAAGCAGGAAAGGATGAAATAGCACATCATTGCAGAGGCTGTATCCCTAGTAAGGTCCATTAAATGTTTGCCTTTGTCACTGTCCAGAATTAACAGTTCCTTGCCATTTTAAGTTAGATCTAATAATTCAGGGTGAAAAAATTCAAATGATCTCTTTGCTTTCGTCTCTCTAGTCTCCCTTTCTGATTTTTTTCTGATGCGTGCGTGTTTTCTTCTTCCCTTTTTCTCTTTCTCCTCTCACCTCTATTTTTTTGTCTTATTGCCACTCCATATATCCAAACATATTTTACATATAGATGTACACAAGTACATTCTGTGCCGCTAGAGCATTTTAATCCCATGGTTACTAATGTACCCAGTGTAGACAGCCCTAATTATATACAACTAAGTAACAACCTAGCAGACATCAGAAATCTTCTGCCTGCCATGCTGGCCCTTTGCTTAGCTGCTTCCTTTCCCCAGGCTCTTGCCAGTCTTCTCAGTGAGACAAAGGATGACCTTTATGATACATGCAGAAGATGCTCAGAATGTCATACAGCTAGGAATGAATAAGCTTGGGTTACCAAACTTCTAAATGGCTATTGGAATATGAATGATTTGGATGAGAAATTATTTTATGATGAATTATTTCTTATGAAATTTTTACACACCTTGTGCTTTCAGGGGAAGTCGGCTTTGTGGTCACATTTAATTCAATTTCAGGACAGAGAAGAGAAACAAGAGCACCTTGCAGAATCACCAGGTATGACATCATTGGTAAAGAACTAGCAGCATTGGACTCTGAGAAGACTCAATACTATATGGCCTTGTCTTGCTCTCTTTCTCTCTCAAGCTAAAATTTACTCATTTTGCCAATAATGGGATAAAGTAGAAGGAGCAGTATTACTGACTAACTGTGAGACCTGGAAAAAGTTATTTGCCCTTTCTGAAGTCCTGCTTCATCATCTAGAAAATAGGGAAAATGAGATTACCTAGGCTGGAATGGTCATGCTGATCAAGCAAGGTATCATGTGAAAACCCCCAATGAATTGTAAATGGCCATGCAAGGATACATTACTCTCAGTAGCATCAGAATATTTTTTTTCTTAAAAGTTTTATGCCAGGCACGGTGGCTCACACCTGTAATCCCACCACTTTGGGAGGCCAAGATGGGCGGATCACCTGAGGTTGGGTGTTCGAGACCAGCCTGGCCAACATGGTGAAACCCCATCTCTACTAAAATACAAAAATTAGCTGGGCATGGTGGTGGGTGCCTGTAGTCCCAGCTACTCGGAAGGCTGAGGCAGGAGGATCGCTTGAACCCAGGAGGCAAAAGTTGCAGTAAGCCAAGAAGGTACCACTGCACTGCAGCCTGGGCAACAGAGCAAGACTCCATCTCAAAAATAAAAAGTTTTATAACCATCATTAGTGATCTTTCAGGGAAAAAATATGTACATATATCTCAAAAAATTTCAGGAGTTGAATCTCTTCTTCAATTTATAGAGAATATGTTAGAAGTGTCATAATTTTTTAGCTAATTAGAATTATGTAGGGTTTCTTAAGCTAAGTGTTCTTACCTACTGTGTATTTTTTACAACAACACTTGCTTTTCTTTATATAAAATAACCGTCTATTTCACAAAAAAGTAGAAGTAACTGTGGTAAGCTAATTGAGATAAAATGCTTTATACTGAATCAGCCATTTTGGAACCTTTTCATAAAGTATGGATTACTTTGAATATTCAGAAATGTTTTAGATGGAGTCTCCTCTTGTCACCCAGGTTGGAGTACAGTGATGTGATCTCAGCTCACTGAAACCTCTGCCTCCCAAGTTCAAGCAATTCTCCTGCCTCAGTCTACCAACTACCTGGGATTATAGGTGCCCACCACCACACCCGGCTAATTTTTGTATTTTTAGTAAGGACGGGGTTTCGCCGTGTTGGCCAGGCTGGTCTCAAACTCCTGATCTCAAGTGATCAGCCCTACTCAGCTTCCCAAAGTGCTGGGATTACACGCATGAGCCACCTCGCCCAGGTGGTGGCGGATGCCTATAGTCCCAGCTTCTCGGGAGGTTGAGGCAGGAGAATCGCTTGAACCCGGGAGGGTGGAGGTTGCAGTGAGCTGAGATTGTGCCACTGCACTCCAGCCTAGGTGACAGAGCTAGACTCTATCTCAAAACAACAACAACAACAAAAGGTCATAAGCCTAACACAGTTTAAGAAAGAGTGCAGGGGCCGGGCATGGTGGTTTATGCCTGTAATCCCAGTACTTGGGAGGCCGAGGTTGGCAGATCATGAGGTCAGGAGTTCGAGACCAGCCTGACCAACATTGTGAAACCCCATCTCTACTAAAAATACAAAAATTAGCTGGGCATGGTGGTGTGTGCCTGTAATTCCCGCTACTCAGGAGGCTGAGGCAGGAGAATCACTTGAACCTGGGAGGCGGAGGTTGCAGTGAGCCGAGATCGTGCCACTGCACTCCAGCCTGG